GAAAGAAAAAGTGACCAATGAAAACTTAACACTATGCTCTGCACGGCCACAAATGCTTCTCATGGTTAATCTACACATAAAAGTGACCAGCGCCATGCCTAGCACCATGCTCTGCACGACCACAAATGTATTATATATCATGGTTAATTCACACATTAAAGTGACCCAGTGAAGCTGAACATAACTTACTGCATATACACAATGTGACATCAAAATGGCGATTGGTACTCATCCTTACCTTTAGGGTCTGGTGTAAAGGATCGCATGATATAACCAAGGATTGATCACCGGTATGCGTAGAAGGCTAATTATGTCACAACATGGTATTCAAACTACATCCGGACGCGTCAATCTCTTATACAACGGGTAAGATCTATTGCAAAGGTGTACACCACGCTGTAAAAATGTTAAATATTTTACTCCAAAGGAAGGTATATGAGGTCAAAGCGCGAGTCTTAAATAATTGCATTTTCCAATGTAATTGATAAAATAAAGCGAAACACTTTTCTCGGGTACAAATAGACTGTGTTGTACAGGGTGAGCCAAAAAAGGCAACCCAAACAAATGTTAATAACTTCGTCCTCCAACATTCATTTAAAATCATATTTGGCACAACTGAAACTTGTTCAATGTTCTTTTAAGGCCATTTTAAAAACATGCTCAAAATGCGAAAAATCACTTCCCAAAACGGTTATCTTTGAAGCTATTTCAAACCCCCGGGGCAGGGTAAAATTGAACCCCTCTTGGTACATCCTGGTTACACCCTAAGAGAAGCATTTGGGAATTGAAACAAGAGATAAGAAGGATGATTAGAGATGTCTGTGACCAAGTAGTCAGAACAAATTCACCCGGTTCATTCAAATTAGCCTCCACAGTTGAGACATTTTGAGGATGTTTTGTAAAATAGCAATAAATTAGTGGTCATTTAAAAATGGACCAATGAAACTTTATATAATGAAAGAACATTTAATGATGTTTAATTGTGCTAGATATCATTTAAGCCCTTCCGGGACAACTGAGTTATTAACATTTGTTTGAATTACCCTTTCTTTGGCTCACCCTGTACTATTGAACAATTGAGAGTGTCGGGCCAATTAAATGGATCCATGATCTGGCGAAGTCATTAGATTTCAGGGTTAATTGGACGAATTTCAGTTTTATTTTATAGCAAGCCATGCTCTGAATCATAAATAAAAAAACACATTTGAAAATGAGATTGAAACACAGAAAATTGTGAAGGAAGAATATTTGTCATTTGGGAAAAGCTTTGAGTGAATGCCCCACGTCTTGCATACAGGCATACGTATATAACACAAAGTGCAAGACTCTTAACTGACGAGGCAAGATGGCAAATGGAAATATCAAATCTGATGATTATTTTTACGATACTCTTTGTCATAATTTCAAATCCTTTAACTTTATTTTACTCAAATTCCTGAATTATTTTTAGAATATTTCGTTTAATAGATGATTTTCATTTGAATCTTATCAAGAAACATCAATGCAATTCAAGATTGTGACAAAATTCCAAAACAGAAATGAAACATAAAATTCCAAAACATTAATAAAAAGCTTTCCTTGCGGAGGGAATTCTGTTCCTGATTTAAATCATTTTCTTGCAAACCCATTGATTCACTTCTATAATTAAAGGTGTCAGTCTTACGACAATGTAGAAGAAAGATTTAGACTAAAATAAAGTGATATGTGAAAAATAAAAAAAACTATTCATGCATATATTCATATGGGAAGTTTTTAATACAAGGTTTATCTAAGCGAAATGCCATATATTTACCAGAGGGACAGTAGGGACCGATCGGGGGTTGATGTATTGTATTTACAGAGCGAAATCCCTCGGATGATATCGATATTTATTATATTGATATCCTTGTGATATTCCCCATATCAAATCCCTCATTGTGAATAACTTATTTATATATTTTGGATTAGAATAGTGTGATTGCGTCTACCAATTAGACCTTGAAGAAAAACGATGTATCCATGCATTTTGATATCCGCGAGTGGCCGAGACGTCAGGCAATTTAAATGGCTTTCAAAGAAAACACAGACCCTTAGCTCGAACGTAATAAAGCTCAATTCAGGCCAGACATTCTTTCAAAATAATGCAGTTTTCACACTTCTTAGGAAAAAGAATTGAGACAGGCACCCACCTCGCCAAAATTGTACCCAAAGTTTTTATTCAAACGTTTTTTCAATTGCAATTGTGAAGTCGTATTCATCCCTCTCACCAAGATTTGCCACGCCAATTTGATTTTGCATCATCTTTCACCCAAATTGCCATGCCAATTTGATTTAGCATCATCTTTCACCCAGATTTAGCATCATCTTTCACCCAGATTGCCTCGCCAATTTGATTTTGCATCATTTTCCACCCAAATCGCCATGCCAATTTGATTTTGCATCATGTTTCACCAGGATTTGCCAAGTCAATTTGATTTTGCATGACTTCTTACCCAGATTCCCTGGCCAATTTGATTTTGCATCATACTATACCCAAATTGCCATGCCAATTTGATTTTGCACCATCTTTTAATCCAGATTACCACGCCAATTTGATTTTGCATCATCTTTCACCCAGATTGCCACGCCAATTTAATTTTGCATCATCTTTCACCCAAATTGCCATGCCAATTTGATTTTGAATCATCTTTTACCCAGATTGCCACGCCAATTTGATTTTGCATAGTCTTTCACCAAAATTGCCTCGCCAATTTGATTTTGCACCATCTTTTACCCAGATTACCACGCCAATATGATTTTGCACCATCTTTCACCCAGATTGCCATGCCAATTTGATTTTGCACCATCTTTTACCCAGATTACCACGATAATTTGATTTTGCACCATCTTTCACCCAGATTGCCATGCCAATTTGATTTTGCACCATCTTTTACCCAGATTACCACGCTAATTTGATTTTGCGCCATCTTTTACCCAGATTGCCACGGCAATTTGATTTTGCATCATCTTTCACCCAAATTGCCACGCCAATTTGATTTTGCATCATCTTTCACCCAGATTCCAACGCCAATTTGATTTTGCATCGTCTTTCACCCAAATTGCCTCGCCAATTTGATTTTGCATCATCTTTCACCCGGATTTGCCACGCCAATTTGATTTTGCATCATCTTTCACCCGGATTTGACACGCCAATTTGATTTTGCACCATCTCTAACGCAGATTGCAACGCCAATTTGATTTTGCATCATCCTTCACCTAGATATGCCACGCCAATTTGATTTTGCATCATCTTTCACCCGGATTTGCCAAGTCAATTTGATTTTGCATCATCTTTCACCCAGATTGCCACGCCAATTTGATTTTGCATCATCTTTCACCCATATTGCCACACCAATTTGATTTTGCACCATCTTTCACCCAGATTTGCCAAGTCAATTTGATTTTGCATCATCTTTCACCCATATTGGCACGCCTATTTGATTTTGCATCATCTTTCACCCGGATTTGCCAAGTCAATTTGATTTTGCACCATCTTTCACCCATATTGCCACGCCAATTTGATTCCGCATCATCTTTCACCCGGATTTGCCACGCCAAATTGATTTTGCATCATCTTTCACCCGGATTTGCCTCGCCTATTCTTAGAACCAGCTAGCTACGCCTTTGCATTGCATATTAGAGTTTGGTTAGGGATTTAATCTTATATTCAAAGCGCAGCTTCACGCTTATAATTTTAGATATGATTATTGGCGTGTGCTCTGCAAACAGATTTCATCTCACACTGATTGAAAGGATTTCCTGGCTAAGAATATCAAGTTCATGTCCTTCCCTTCTTTTAATAGACCTTTCTCATAAATCCTGTCATCTTTTGGTACATCAAGTACACCAATGAAGCTATGATATATTACATTAAGTTTAAAGGTTTGAATATTTTAGCAAATGTGTTATTCACTTTTGGTTGTGTTGTTCATTTTTGTTGGTATGTGTTTGTGTTTGTTATCTTCACATTTGTTTGTTTCATCACAAAGATAATGATAAAGGTCAGGGTTCAAGCTTCCGATTCTTTCAGTATGTTCCAGTTACTTCCAGTTTCACACAAGAGGGGGAGAAACCCCAGGGTTCAAAGATGACATACGCTTATAATGTAAATCTGTATCGAGATGACATCGTCGCTGATTGGTTTAGCGAGTCGATCGTTGATTGGTTTAAAACTAGGTCAATTTGAAAACTTTAAAAACCAGGGGGGGAGATCTCCCAAAGTTCAGCCTTCGTATTCGATCACGTGGTACTCACGTGCTAGATCCATTTAAGGCTTACATGGCCATATACATATGTATAGGAATCCAACTGATTGTCCGCCATTTTGAATATCATGTGATAGATCCATATAAGGTTTGTATGACCATATAGGATGGCTAAGGGGAATCCCCGAATACGAAAGAATATGATAGCTATTATTATGGGAGCTACTCATTTCTTCTGTTTAAAAATCAAGGTGGAGGATAAACAAATATACGTACCTTTGGGAAAGGAGGTGCGCGAAGGAGGAAATCGTATGTCAATTGAATCATGGGGTTTTCCCTCTTAGTTGCACACAGAATTTAAATAAGATTTCAAAACTGAATAATATTAGCAGGGTTTTTAAGAGTAGGCATCGGTGAAATATGGTATAATTTGACACAATATGGATATATTTCTATACCTCTTCTTGAAAATAACAACGCATGCCTAAATGAGCTTCAAAAAAATAGGCATTTATAAATACATTTTCCATTCCACAGAAAATACGTTGTAACTTTTTAACATTCTTAACATAACTTTATTCAAATATTCACATCAAATAAATTCAACAGAAAGCACAGTTTACAATGCGTGCCCACTTTCGCAATCATGCATGAATAGTTTCAGCAGGTCTAGTAGTTCCATCATATTACAGTATCTGAGTATGATTGGGTCGTATTATCGCCCCGGGTATACGATGGGCTCGAGCAGCTCATGGAATAAATTGAGCATGAATACTGCCTGTTACATATTCGATTCTGAAATGATTTAATCTTTAAAATTGTACACATCAGGGTCACAGTTAATGCTCTCTAAGAAATCTGTAACCCTGGATATATAGTATTTTTCTAAATTATCACGATCAGTCAACTGCATCATCAGTGTATTAAATCATTGTTTCCTCACCGGCATATCCGGTAATATAACGTAAAGAACTAGCAGAGGATGGGTAGAAATAACATAAGTATCGTCCAATCAGAAATCGAGGTTTTGATATTTGCAATATATAATTCACGCAACAGAGACATTTGGTTTAAATGTGGTAGTAGCTGGTTCGTTCAGTGCGCCCCTTCCTTGTGATTGGGCAAAGAGGAGGATATACCCAGAATTCATTGAAGCACCTAATAGAGATTTACATGGAGGTAATTGTAGGATCACATTCGACGAAAAAGCAGACTCATCTGGTTCAATTCGTACAGTGGTTCCGCTCCTTGTAGATTATCTCCGCTTTCTTCTTCCAAAGCACGATACGGCCGACCAATAACATTGTTTAGCTTCTTTATGAGTTCTTTGTCTTTGTCCTCCCCCTCTTTTAATGAGACTGTCATTTTCTTCCAGGGAATTAAATTCAACATTCATGTCAGAGTTTCGTGAAGGAATTTGCTGTTCCATATTGTCTAGGGCATCGAGAAACTCAAGCAATCGCATCAGGAGAGGCTGGATAGTTTCCAACTGAAACAAATGAAAAAAATATAATATAACAGAAAATTAAATTCATCGTCGGATTCAACGTATAGATAAACTGATTAAATTCTACCCTGATTCCAGATTCAGGTGAAACAATCACAGTTTTTGGCACAAATCAAAGAAGAAATGACCAGCTAACTTTCTTAAAATCACGAACCATTGAATAGTTAGTGAAGATCTATGACCTCAGATTCTTGAGTATACTGTAATAGGAACTTTTGCCCACTCATAAATATTCTTATATACCTTTTGATTGTGTATGAGAATTATGCATGTTATGAAATGTTTTGAATTATCAAGGCGATGTGGTAATACACTGAAGGGGACTGTATTCTTGTTTTTTAATACGTACATATTTTCTTATGAATTTTCAGATTTTAGTGAGGACAATTAGTTGGTGAACCCGTACAATCCCAAAACCGATCAAAATATGAAAAGTCAGATTGGATTGATTCATAAATAATCGTGTATGGCAAGTCAAATGGCATCAATTGTAACCAAGACGTATAAACAAAACATTATGAGATAACTCATTATTCTGGTACCAGGTATCACCCATTTGTGATCCATTGTATGTGTGAAGATATTGATATCCATGAGTGGATATAACTGATATTTTTGAAAAACCATAGGATTGTCCGTTTATCCCATGGGAAATCTTAACCCAGATTTCGAAAAAATGGAAGGAAAAAATCTAATTTTTTTTTAAAAAAAATCTTGAAAAAAAATTTTAAGAAAGAAATTATTGAAAAAATCTAAACCATCGAATATCACTTTTAAGACCATCGAATATCACTTTTTGAGAGGTGATATTCGATGGTTTGGTGATTTTTTGCTAAAATATGATATCTTGATCCACATATAAAATATATCTAGTTGATATTCGATCTATATCCTTGTAACCATGGGATAAGATGAGTATATTATTTACCTGAATATTTACATGTTATAGCTGATCAAATGTGACTGAAGCATAACAAAAAAATCAATAGACAAGACAATGGTACCTGTTACACTGCTGGGTTGAGTCTAACGAAGCATTTTTGTAACGAAGGTTAGCGAAAAAATTGTGTCCACACTGGCTTTATCCAACCCTAACGAAGCAATTATTTGGTGTTACACTGCACTTAAAAAGCTTCGTTGCGCGTGCGCAGTACTCATCTGCCCCACCCACTTATTATGATTAATATTTTTGTTCTTTTGATATAAACCATTGATCAAACTCAAAAATCTAATTTTTAATGTTTATTTTTAACAATTCAGCACAGAAAAAGACTAGTTCAAAATTCTCTGGAAAATAAAACCAGATGAATGTGATCATTCCGTACACATGTCCATACATTTTTTCCCATCATTTCGATTTTTATATATTTCAGCTGTCAATACGATTACAAGTATTGTTTTCATTTTCTATCATTTCCTTATAGAATAAAAATAGGCCTATGTTAATTACTAGGAGGAATTGGATTTGGGGTTTATACAGAGGACTAGTCTGTAATATCGTATAAAAACGTTCAATTTCCAAATGGACTTCTCAGTTATATTTCAAATAGTGTAGCCATTACTAAAATATCTCGGTGCATTCGGCTGGTGGTTTAACTACTATTTCATGATCAATTCATTTTAATATGAATATTACCCGTCTCGCCAATATTCCATGCATATTTGAGTGCGTTTGACATAAATTAGTATGTTAATCCATCAGTCGTCCGTTGAATTCGAAAATGGCGCAAATTGGAAGAAACTTAAATATCAGTTATACGCATCGTCTAACGACACATCAATAGTGTATGGGGCTGGCCTAAAACATGCAGCCTCTCTGTGGCAAATATCTGTCGACAAGAAACAATTTTGGCCACCGTCCCTTGTCCGCAGGTTTTACTGTATTTGTATACGGAAGTTTTGAAACGTAATTAATTCAATATATTTAAACATGAAGTTTAAATTCAATTACATTTTAAAATCGTCGAAGAATGAAATAATAGAACGACTAGTACAAGTATTGCAATGGGGCGATAATCAGTTGAATACGATTTCTGAAGAGAGACATTTTCGAATCAATCAAATCGGCTAAATTCTCTGATATGATTCACCGGGAAGCAATTGTATCAGTATCATGGTATAAACACCTTTAGAATTACATTCAAGGTATAAATATTCGAGGCGCAAGAAAAAATTAATATTAAACATGTATGCCACAACTTTCTATTTACTAAGCATATCTTATGTAATTTCAAAAGTTTACCCTTCCACATATGAGACGGAGCTTTCCCGAAAGAGGGACATTTAAATATTCTAGCTTTATTCCCTTATAGATCAGATAAACGTTTCAAAAATACCGTATACATATACGGTAAAACCTGAGTGTTTTAGATTTAATAATTTTTGTCATATCAATGCGAGGAAAGGCAGGGAATCGAATGAAATGCCACGAAAGACGGTAAATCACATTTGTACGTGGCGTTTAGTGCTTGAGTTAGCGTCAATCTGTGACGCAAATAGGTAATTATTTTAATCAAAACGTAGCATTATAATAATACGTACTTAAAAACATGTTCTTTCCTCGCGATTCCTCTCATTTAATACAAAATGATGAATGTGCTCTTTATTATGCGCATGCGCAAACCGCCAACTAAGCATTTTCTAACGAAGCTACCTGTTACACAGGCAAAAAACGCTTCGTTGGGACCTAACCTTCGTTGAATTTTCTACTCAATTGCTTCGTTATCAACTAAGCTTTTCTAACGAAGGCGGAGGTGTTACACTGGCCCAAAATTGCTTCGTTACGAAGCTTTTTGTCAAATTGCTTCGTAACGAAGCATTTCAACTGGCCTGTGTAACAGGGGTCAATGATAAAGGTTTTGGGCTACTCACGCTCAATTATGTTGAGACTACATGTCTAATTGATGTATTAAAGTATATTCATTATTATACTCGGAATTCAAGAATTAAATTCAAGACTTCATAATAAACTAGAAAATCCTTATTAACTATCTGATTGAATGTGTCTACTAATGAGGAAAGAAATTGTAACCCGACCATTGCATAAGTGTACTATCTTACTATTGAACACTATCTATCCCTGGGCACAATTGATAACATTCCGTATACATCGATTTGAATCAAGATCTAAAAATGGTCGAAATAGAGTTAAATGAATTGAATCTGTACTTGCTTTGTTAAAATATCAGAGACATTTGAGATTGTATTTTTATGTAGGACCCCCGGGGTAGGACTCGAGTACTCCCGGTAGAAGAACTGACTGGTGACATTAAACTCCAAGACTCCGCCAGCTGAGTCAAGGGTACGACTGTGATAACTGGACAGAATAAGACTGAAAAATGTCGCATATAAACGGCTAGGTTGTTTAACAGATTGGCATGAAAAAATGATACGACCCCAAAATATTATAAAATAATTAGGACTCCAATCTTCCAAAATAATACTAGTGCCACTGCACTATTACAATGCCAACCTTCAGAATCTTTTAGTACCATTTACCTATTTTATTGCTTGTCAAAGCCAAATGTGAACTAAGCGGACCTCTAGCAATCCGAAGGCAAGTCACATTCGTATAAGAAGAGACATATAAAACTAATATACTTATAAACCCTTAGGTATGAATATAGAAATTGTACATTCTAATTATAACGACGACAATTGCTCTAAATCAACATGTTCGATAAGGGAATGTTGCTCTACTGTTCCAATTACATGTATCCTTATACTCTTATTAATTTCTAGAGAATATTTTTGACCTCGTAAAATAGTTGAACTCGGAATACTATTTTGGAACAATATAGTCATCAGAATAGTTGGGGGCTCCATATTAAGAGAGACGTATTTAAAACACAGGTAATTATGGAAGTAATTATATTGATTAATATTGAGATGAGGGAGCAAAAATAGGTTGTTATTTTGAAAAGTGATAACATTTGCTATCTGGATTTCTCTAAATATCTCTAAAGCTCTTTAAATCTGTATGTTCGTTGAGAGAATATTGTCTCATCAGTTTGTAAAGTATGATACTGATTAATATAATATATATACATATATATATTTGTCAACTGGACGATCAGAATGTATCTGAGTCGTCATTGCTAATATATCAAATTCCGTGTTGACAAGTCTGTTTGATCGAAATGTTATAAATAATTGAGTTCCAAGACAAGTCATAACTGTCAATGAGGGCCTAAGAGGTTTGTTCGATTAAATAAATATATATGAAATTATTGAGGCTTTCAAAGACTAATTGATAAGACAAGGACAATAAAACAATGATTAATATTAAGGCGAAGCACTATAGCTATATATATATTATTGATGTATGACGATCCTCATTCTAGTATCATCATCATTGCATCTTTCTGTTTGACCATAAAGGTTGAGAAGAAATGAGATGGCATGGTTTATAATGATGGGCGATCTTGTATTATGACTAAACGATTCTGATGTCATGTGAACGAGTATACGACTAACTACTTTGCCAAACGAGTGTGCGACTTTGATAATAAAGGGTATGTGTGTTGAACGAATGTACGGCTTTGCCGAACGAGTGTACTACTGTGCTACACCAGTGTACGACTGTTCTAAACGATTGTACTTAACGGTACGAGTATACGACTTTGCCAAACGAGTGCAATACTTTGCTACATGAGTGCGCGACTATGACAAACGAGTGTACCACTTCGCTACACGAATGTGTGACTTTGCTAAAGGAGGGTACGAATGTGTCAAACGAGTGTACGACTTTGCTAAAGGAGGGAACGAATGTGTCAAACGAGTGTACGACTTTACTAAAGGAGGGTACGAATGTGCCAAACGAGTGTACGACTTTGCTAATGGAGGGTACGAATGTGTCAAACGAGTGTACGACTTTGCTAAAGGAGGGAACGGGTGTGTCAAACGAGTGTACGTATTTGCTAAAGGAGGGAACGAATGTGTCAAAAGAGTGTACGACTTTACTAAAGGAGGGTACGAATGTGTCAAACGAGTGTACGACTTTGCTAATGGAGGGTACGAATGTGTCAAACGAGTGTACGACTTTGCTAAAGGAGGGAACGGGTGTGTCAAACGAGTGTACGAATTTGCTAAAGGAGGGAACGAATGTGTCAAAAGAGTGTACGACTTTACTAAAGGAGGGTACGAATGTGTCAAAAGAGTGTACGACTTTACTAAAGGAGGGTACGAATGTGTCAAACGAGTGTACGACTTTGCTAATGGTAATCGTAGAAAGAGTACGATTTTGTTAAACGAAGTTTTTCGTAGTCAATGGCTATTCCGGTGTGAGATTCTCATATAGACAATAGTGTACAGAAGTAGTACATAGTGGCGTTTCAATCTGTTCTCCTGAAGACGTTAATAAAAAGCGACTAATGTATCTGGATGCTAATAGTTGATTATTTCATTTACAAAATACAATTCTAGAACAATAGAACAGAGAAAAGACAAATGTGTTTCTTTATTCCTGGTTGACGGACCAATGTAGCTAATTTGCACTATTGACGAACACGCGTTGATTAACTATAATTCCTGTTTCAAGAAGTTAGTTTTGCATCAAATGTCTGGAACACCCACATCTCGCTCCCCCTCGACCTCCCACTGTCTTCTTCTCGTGTAGGTGTGAGGGCACTAGTGTAAACAATAAAAGTAGGCGAGCAGTGTGAACATGGATCCATTTGAAACAGACACATTGAATGTCTGTTTGTGTAAATAAAGTTGACAATAAAATTTGGTTTTTGCAAAACAAAAATGACGCCATTTATATTATGGGCGCTGGTTGACAGACATTACAATAAATTTTTATTAAACTTAAACTTATTATATACCAAATTAAAGATAAGTAAATTCCCTATCCACTGGTATATAATATGACATGTTTTCCTGAAGAAAATCAATATTTATTTTTGAAATACGAGTGTCCCATTTTTTGGACCACCTTTGCTCATCAGAGTGTAATGGGAAATCAAAGTTAGCTTAACCGGCCACACCAAAACATGCAGTACTACCAACCACATACAATCACAATACAATAAAATATGTATTTTCATGAATTACATTTCTTAGAAATAAATGAATTTGTAGCTTGCTTTACAAATTATAATAAGTATAGTGCACAGTAGCACAGTATAATGCTAAATAGCCATTGTCTTGCGATGAGCACATTGTAAATAAATTTCATAAATATTCTTACATTGACATAGACCCTTGATTTCTGTCTCTTTTTAGCAATTTTATTTTTATATGATGAAATAAGTAGGAATACACTCATTTGAATTAAGAATGCCAACAGGAGTAAGATACACGTGAAGTTTCCGATATTTCAAGGAGAATTCACACTTATTACGGCCAAATAAGATAATGAACCGGTTGTAATTAAAATGTATATTTTTGTTGTTTATGGGTCCAATGAAAATGTGATTTCTTATCTCATTCCAGCACAAATTTTAGAATAATTGGTTTTTAATGACACTGGTCCTGGAATAATTCTTTCAGCATTTTAGTTTTGAAAATGTTCATCCCGAAATTCATATAAACCCCGAGATATTGTTGTCTTATCGAGTCATATCACGGTAACAAAGGATCAATTAAATGGGACAAACGTCCCCTCGGACCACCACATTCTTGAATGAGACCGAAGCCAAATAGATTACAAAAATAATCTCAATCACAGGTATTCTACTTGGTAATCGACAGTCATCGGATAAAATGAGTTTTCGCATTATTTTCCTTTAAACACACAAAAATTATACGTACATAGGGGTTATGCACTGGGAGGTTTTGGATACAGGGAATATCCCGAGGGATATACAATATATCTTCCCGAGCGACCGAAGGGAACGAGGGAAGATGTATTGTATATCCCAAGGGATATTCCATGTATCCAAACCGACCGTGCATAACTGGTGTATCTCATACTTGAGTGGGTTTAGGGTAGATTTAACCTTTTCCACCTTTTTCAAATGACAAGATATTTATATTTAACATTTTCGTAATATTCTTTTTGTTCAATACAATGAAATTGTAACATTTAAACTTAAAAAATTTAAATTGTAAAATTGAAAAATTAAAACTTTTGATATTTAAACTTTTTTAAACTTTTGAAAATTCCCGGGAGCGGGATGGATATATTATATCTGCCCGCATTTGGCCTGGAGCGGGACATATACAATATATCCTGCCCGCCCCTCAGATATGATATATATTCCCGAGTGATATCTACCCCAAACCCACTTAAGTATGAGATACAACTCTATATAGTCACACGGTATGACTCTCACTTCTAATTGCACATGAGAGCTGCATTGTTCGAACCAATTAAGTAACTTTCAAGAAAAGATGAAAAATATGTTATAAGTATTGCCTAAATCACTTTAAATGTGCGCGTGTAATGACTTTCATGGTGTCATATTCCCTCGCTTAGCCAATTTCTGAGTGAAAAACGTCAGCTTGTGGGTTTTTTAACCAAAAATACTTAGTAACGAGACAACGATTTATGAATACAGTTCCCACAAGTCATGATCATTCTTCAAGATGGGGCTTCGTTGAGATTAGAAGAGAAACGAAATACCCTTGGACTAACCCTAAAGGCTGCAACCTTTTTGTAACACTTAGTCGCAAGGGGAGGGTCATTTGGACCCAACTCTGACTGATTTCAATAATGTTGGTATTGTTGTTAACCTCATTCAATTAACTTTTCACATATTTATTCTTTTTTTTAAAATAGGTCAACAAAGGTCAAATCGAGGTCAACGCGACCTAGGGGTGAACAATTTGACATTTTGTGATAATTCTTTTACAGGATTAGAAACAAGGTACAGTAACTACAAATATTTTATGATTTTCATTTTTTGTTGGCATCAATTTCCAATCACCTTAATTTTACGCCAAAAAGTGTCATTTATCTGTGGCTCGGGCTAAAAATAGGTCTAAAGGAGGCATAACAAAATTTCGCAAAAAAGTACGATTGAAAAAATCGAGGGGGGATCAGACATTAGGCTAAGGATGCCACGCGTTCGAGAATCGCATTTCTCAAATTGGATGACTATCAAGGAACAAAACAAGAAGCTTTTTATGACAATTACACTGGGTGAAAAATATTTTGTTATAAGGACCTTTGCTTCGAAATTTTAGTTTTAGTTTGGAAACAATATTACGGACACGGTCATAAGTGATAACTGGCAAAATCAACCCTGGCGAACGTGCAATTACAGTAGGTCGAAAATTGATGATAAATCTGATGAATTTTTGAAAATCGACTTTCCCATATAAACCAATCGGAAATGGAAGGTTTGCCGCAAGTCATATGACAGAATATTCATTTATCTAAGTTCTTGCAAAAATACAACAATGGTAGTCGATTGAACTTGCTAACTTTATTTAATAAAAAGTTGAGACGTGTCTTCAAGTTAAAAAATATTATTTTTCAAAAAACTTCTCCCGTTGAAATAACATATAGTAATTTTATCATTTTGTAACATCAGCCTTTTCTAGCGCAAATTTGGTTACGGTAGATTGGAACTGATTTTAGTATGCCTAGTGTAGGCCCGCAAATATCCCAAATTGTGTGCTAAAAGGGGTTGATTAATTCCACAAAATGGTACACGGCTCATAATACACCATTTTAAAGCTAATGACTTTGGGATTCCAGAAATGAATTTTAGTCTTCTGTGACGCTATATTTTTGGGATTGAATTAAACTCAGATATGTATTTCTGATTTTTCCAATTTTTCCTTTTTATCAGAGAACCACTGGAATCCGATATAATAATCATAAGACCACAGAGTATCACCTTTGTGCATGGTCCTATCCCGGCGGGGTCCTATACCTTATGCACATATTGATGACAGCATGGGAATAAAGTTTGACCGAGCGTTAGTAAGAACAATGTTTGAACCAAACATGTGACATAAAAGTTGATAAAGTTTTGTCTTTCAAACAAACGAAGTAACACCTGGACATTCATAAAACCATTGCAAACATCAATGGGCCTCCTCAGGAAACGCCCGCATCCCCACCAAGGCTAAAATATAATTTTTGGAATTAGAAAACAGGTATTATCAGTAGAAATTATAGTAATAAAAATTGTAAATTACAAACCTGATTATTTGTTGTTTTCTCTTTGTCATATACGTAGAAAGCGTCAGTATATTTTCCACAAATCGAAATAGTCATTATAGTTAAATATAAGTACTTTACAGCCAAACGTCCCCCAAGCATCCCGTCTTCCACACAGTCGCACAGGAACACGCACGTTATACTTATCTAGAGATATTTGATTCCTGATTTACTGATACAATCTATGACAACAATTGGTTCTTCAATTCTCTAATTACTTTGAACTGTGTACCTCACGATTAACTTGACAGCTAAAGCGCCTTTTTATTTTGTCTCATTTGTCGGCAATCAACACTTTAAGAATTGCAACTAATGATGATTGTCTCCTCCGGAACTTCTTATTAATATTTTACGCCCTCAGTCAGTTGATCTCTCGTCTCTATGGCTGAATAATATTCAGTGGATGCGCTCTCCGGAAACTCTATTTTATTTGCCATGAATGCGATACCTTGTTAGTAAAATGACTAATAAGACATAGCCCAATTACAAATACTATGAGTATTGACTCTTCTTCCAATTATATTGATCCAACTCCAGATATTACGGTCATAAAAGTGGTGACCAAAGTCGGTCAGAAGTCGTAAAGATAGGCAGCTGATTACAACGTCCCATTATAGCAAGCCACCGATGTAATACACCATTATAAAGTCGGGTCAAAGTATATATCATTGTAAAATTTACGTCCTTTTCTATGACGGAAGGAAAAGAACATGTCCGAAAATCCAGGTTACTGAGACTAACTTTCGCTAAACGAATTTGTTCCCAAGAGCTCTACTCACACTACCCCGGGATTCTTCACGCTAATCAGTTGTTGAATTGTACTCTCTCCGGGTTGGGCACAACACGACCCTGACAGAACAGATCATTGTTGCTATTTGATGCCAGAGAATCCAATGCATTGCTAATTAACTGGATCATGATTAAAAATGGCAAATAGGCAAGACGAGGAATCCTATGAATCCAATAGATTTTGAAAATGAAACGATTTTGAAAAAATGCTTTGCTCTTGATCTATCATTCGATTTGAAAAATAATAGTGATGGGCTGCAGATTGATCAACCAACAAAAAAATAAGGAACACGAGGCCAAAGTGGGCAACTGAATCGAAATGGAACTCTCTATCAAATGAATAAACGATATTATGATATAGGACAAAGTATCTAGCACTACTGAAAAATCTTAAACTGTAATCGCACATTTCAAGTTCGCTTGGAAAGGGGAACACTTGCTTCAAAGACAAACAATGAACAATTTGCTCAGGAAATTGCAGCTCGCCGAAAATTAGATGAACCCTTATAAAATGGACAAAAGCTACTTATCAAAACCCAAGGTAGTCTTTGACTATAGGATGTACAGGTCTGTCTGTATACGTACTTTATTGGTTTACAAACACCCACCCATTTTGTGCATTCACATGAAATCAATTACGCGCAACAAAGAAATTCGAACTCACTAATTGAGAGACATTTTCGGTCAATGAGCTTGTCTTGAGATCACACAAACAACTCGTCTAGAGATCACACAAACAACTCGTAAATATATTTGAAATTCATATTTGTTCTTAAGATCACATAAAATTGAAATCAATGATATTACTCTTCCAATGGGCGTTAATTCGAGGCACCTCCAAAATTACTCCCATGGGCGTTTATAGCGAGGAAAAAGTGCCATGCGTTATTCCTTTTTATGGTCATCATATTTAGGATGAACACTCTTTCTTTGAAAAGTATACGCGTTTGTTATAGGCGTTGAATACAAAATGCCAGTCACGAAACAGTGGATGTTCCATGTGTCACGTCAGAAAAACCGTCACATTTGAACTGCGTCACTTGAATACGGCATTGTTGTATAACGAGCAGGCAGTAGAGGGATAATTTGTCAAGAATCCAAATTAAAACGTCATTAGTTCACATATTCAATTGATTGTTCTATTGGATTTATGGGGAATATTATACAACAATAACCATTGCGGAGGCTTACTCAACAGCAAGAAAAAATAATGTGATATCTGAACGAATAACAACGCAACAATACGATGCAATTCAACAAGATCACAAATAAATTCAATGCCAATCAGTGTATTAGTGTCTGCATACTCACTCAAAACATTGGACATTATTGGACTCCCTCAGCTCACATTAAGAACAATCTGACGTGATATGTATGTATGAATGGGTTATGACGGCCGAACCATGACGTGACTATTTTATAATTAGTGCTAATTTTGATTTGAAGTTAATCTTTGCTCGTTTACACAGTCTATTCTCATATACGTAATCTTGAAGATCTCGACTTATAAAATATCAAACACACAGATACCATGTCTTCGGTGGGGATTATTTCTATTATTAAACAATACTTGATGACACCAATGATGCACTTGGCAGAAAGAGTGTCGATTTACGAAATGCGACGACGATGACAAAGAGACGATTGGTGATGACCCCGTTTCCCTCGACATTGTATATCAAGTAGCACCAGCGTCATTATGTTTGATCACAAATGGCTTTCAAAACATTCATTCTCCAGCACATTTCCAAAATGGGATGCTCCTAGTCCTATCCAGATCAGATATGAAAGTACACAACCCCAATTAAAATGATAGAAAAATCACTCTGTGTTATCAAAATTAAGCTACATACGAACGTTCCACATTGCCTCTTTCGGAGAGAGTAGTACTTGACAAAAATAATCTCAATTTGACTTCCAAAAGCTGCTATGTAATTTGCACGCTTACTCGATGAGGTGCGATTTGATCATTTCAATCACAGTCCCGAAGTGACCATGTATAATTGAACGATTCTAATAGCTGGCTGGTGGTGAATTTGCTATCACACAATATTATATGGAATTAGCCTTTTAGTAACAAGATAGAACTTATCCACTGAAATGTTTTGATGTTGCCTTCCTTGACATTTCATAAGGGCCAGAATTTTTAAATGGCTCACAAAAACCTTGAGTCTAACTGACATCACATATTAAAAATCCAAATAAGATTTAATAAATCCCGGCTTCTTTATATTTCGCTATTTTCCCCGGATGAAGAAAAAACAGATTATCATTAAAATAAATCAATTGAGCAATTTAATCAAATTTTTAAACTTGTAAAATATCTGAAGACATCCAGTTTTATAAACCTCTTTTTTGGCTTATATTTTCCAGATATTTGACTTTGCACCCGAGTAACAAAATGCTCTCAAAAACAGTGCATCAAAAATCGAAGCCAATCAGGGGGCAAATCATTGCATTTAGTATTCAAAAGGGAGACCAAAATACATAATACAGGTCTGCTAGTGTGTTGACGAGGCGAGACAAGGATTTGAAAGATCGAAATAAATAATTGACGTATGAAAGAGCCTTATAAAAATAAGATGCTTTCCAAAAGTTTTATGTTAAACCATGCACTTTTTGTGACGCGTTTCACATAAAATAATGCAAATGGGGCTAACGTGTTCTAAATTCCAGTCTAAATACAGCTTTTGAGGTAAACCAACGCGATCACGTTACTGGAAATTGCACATTCTTGATTTCAAAATTGGCCATACATCAAAGGATGTCAAGAGCAACGTTTCTTCATTATCAGTCCCTCACAATAGTTTTTCAAAAGTTCCTTACAAGTTAAATAAATATGTCTATCTTATACTTGAGTGATTTTGGGGTAGATATCACCCGGGAATATATCATATCCGAGGAGCGGGCGGGATATATTATATATGTCCCGCTCCAGGAAAAATGCGAGCAGATATAATGGGAATTTTCAAGTCTAATTTTTTTAATATAAATTGTGCTTTAATTACTATAGGCCTACAATATCTTGTCATTTGAAAAAGGTTGTAATAAGGGTATACCTTCCTCGAACCCTCTCAAGTATGAGATACACCAGTTACATGGATCTACGATCGGTTTTGGATATAGGGTATATTCCTCCCTATATGAGGTTCAGGATATTGGGATTATCCCGAGGCCAATATAATATATCTGCCCGAGGGCCGAAAGTCCCGAGGGAAAATATATTATATTGGCCAAGGGATAATCCCAATATCCTGAACCGACTATATTGTATTGTATTGTTTTTTGTTTACCACCAATGAAGGTGAGCAATACTTCTTGGGTATGTCCCGTATATACGGTCGTAATTTACGTAATTAACATGGAAGATAGACCCAGAAACCCCTCCTTGGAGGAGCCCTGTGTTCTTTTATGTGCACTTATATATAGAAATACAAGTACACACCACATCCTTTTGTACGAGTTGCGTACCACTCAGTCAAACACCCTGAAGTACTTCAAACAAGCAAATTTAGTCTTGCCTGAACCGGGGATCGAATCCGTGACCTATTGCGTAAGAGGTACCTACGCTACCGCTGAGCTACACGGGTGGACTATAGGATGATCTGTTTATCCCAAATCGATCTTGGTCATCTGGTTCACATCGTTCAATTGGCCACCGCGGAAATATTTTAGAATATTCATGTCCAGTTTTGTTTTCTTGGCAATTACTTTATCCCATTATCACTTAATCAATCAAAAAATTCGAGAAAATAAATGTGGGAATATTTGAGAGAACAGGAAAATCCGCCCACGACCAAGAAAACAAAACTGGACATGAATATTCTAAAATATTTCCACGATTGAACAATGTGAACCAGATGACCAAGATTGGTATGGGATAAACATATTATCCTATAGTCGGTTCAGGATATTGGGATTATCCCGAGGCAAATATAACATATTTGCCCGAGGGCCGCATATAGGATAATCTCTATATATCCCTCAGGATATATCCTATATTCAAAACCTCCCAGTACATAACCCTTATTTATCAGTGGCTTCTGAACCATTGAAATATTCATTATTGATCAATTTGTTAAGTGTTTCTTCAAAACAATCCATCTTTAACAATCAATCAATCTGGAGTGGAGATATTTAAACTTTGAAAAATCACTATTGTTCAACCTTTAAAAGACAACAAAAATAGAAATAAGTATATTGTACATGTTAATAATAATTTTATATTCTATATACAACTGCGTGTCCAGTACATACATGTACATGTGTACAAATGCAATGAAGATGATACAATGATCAGTAGATCACATTTAAATTCGGTATAAATGAGTTATTGAATACAACTGTGTTATTCATGTTGTTCATACATGTAATTCGTTCATAGATCACTTAATCACTGTAAATCACTGCTTAGTGATTCAACAGCTGAGCCTATTTTCAACTCTGTACAAATATGTGCATGACTGGCAAATAAAAAGTTCTTATATGTGTCACCGTTCCCCAAATTATGGCCTGATTTGTATGCATTTCTCATTTTCCAAAGGAACTTACTGATATATACATCCTTTACTTCCCACACCAACCAGATGTCAACTTAACTGTGACTTTTCAAGTCCTTAATACTATTAAAATTATCTAAACCAGAGACATAATATTCATCAATATCCTCTGGCTCATTTATGCGACATCCTGCATGAATGACTATATTCAGTTCATTACAGTCCAGTATTCCATCCATGTTTACCAAAATGGGCACCTGGAAGTACAGAGGTTGAAAATTACATTTGATGCGAATCACAATCAGATTTCATCCATATGTGAACTGCATAACAGTACAATGATGAAAATTCAAAATCAGAAATGAATGTCCAACTTTGGGAATCTGAAAATGATGATGTTAGTAGGAATACAATGCTACAATAGGAAGGGTCAGGCACCTGCTAATGTAATATACAATACATATCCAGATGAAGTAGAGGCAACAAAGCAATCAATGCCAGGGAGAGTGCAAAATGAAACCCTGTACTTACCATCCAATATAACACTGGCAGAGGTTCTCATGGGAAGTTGCTTGCTTCACCAGTAAGTCAACTTGTGTTGGGACATCAACTGAAGCGCCACTTTCAGTCTCAGTGAGAAAGTCACGTCCTGTCAGCTTGTCCCTCACTCTGTTTACAATCTGTATTGCCTTCTTATTCAGGGCCTCAGGGTGTTCCCCTTCTGCTCCTATGGAAAACAAAATGCATTATGCATTGGTTTTTATATTGATATTTAAGCATGATTATAATATAATGGGTAAGGAACCCATGTTAACGTTTGATTTGTTTGCTAGTTCCATGTTCTAAAAGAACTTATTTAGTTACGATTTCTGGTTTGAAACCATTAATACAAGTTTTACATATTTCAAATCAATCATCTTACCAAGTTTGCCATCCTCAGCATGTGGTTTTCTATGAGCTCCCTGGTGCATGTCGACACTGGACAACATATCCCCCTGTTCTTGGCTCTCAGAGTATGAAGCCCCCGACTTGGTACGTGACCGTTTGCCTTTTGTGTTAGCTAAAGAAATATAGTATTACAATAATTGTTCTGTTCACCACTTACGCCTCAATCGAGTATTTCAATAATGTACCATGTTTTGATTCAATAAGGGAGTTCCTACGTATATAGCTGAATAAAGCTGAATAAATCGATGTCACCACTAGTTTTTATTTTTATTTGTTTTGGTTGGGCCAGACTGCCATAGGCTTAAAAAATATGATCATTCACACTTAACTACAAATAAAATTGTTTTGTACATGGATTTAAGTGGCTGGTGTCTTCATTTAATGTTAAATACATTTTCATTGAATGCCACATCTAAAAGTATTGAAAGATATACAGACCATGTAATGTTGCATCATGAATTTGGCTTCACGACATTGAGAAATTATCACCGCTTATCATGTTCCCCTAAATCAGTTATATCATACTCACTGTCCATAAGTCTCCAGTTGAGAAGAGGGTCGTATATGAATGCCTCCAACACAGCCATGACGCTGTCCTTGTGTTCCCGCATCACTTCCATGACACTTTCACATGTCATCCTGTAGTTGCCATCGATACCAGTGACCTGTAAAGAAACAATTTAGAGTCAAATTCATTTCATACATTTCGATTAGAGTTTAGGATTTAAAACTTTGAGACTGAATTAACACAATTTTTGGCATGCGATCCACACAAAAATATGATATGAAATGGAAATGAAGAGATAGAAAGTGTTATTGCACATGAAACATATATTTTAGAGATCAAATAGCATTGCTGTTGATAAGTGTTCCACCAGTTTTTCAAAAAGTGAAGCAAAAGTTATAAATACATTAGTCTGACCATTTTTGCACCTTGGATTAAAATTATTTTAAGGTCTACCTACCTCCATAGCATTGATAAGCATTCGAGTGAGTCTAAAGGGAATCTTTTCTGGGAACTTCTCCCTCGTCATAGCAACCTCAAAACAATCCCCAAAGTCTATATGGGCGATCTTCCCACTGAGGCGATCCAGCATAAGGTTTGAGGGATGTCTAAAATTCATGTAATGCCATAATTTATAATTAATGTGAAATGTAATTATCTAAACTGTTTTGTTTGCTTTAAAAAGACTCTTTAAATCATATATTCGTCCATGTTATTAAGTAAGACTAGTCCATTGGTATCCTCTGATGACTCTCATACAAAGACCATAACTTTCTATTGAGAACTTCAAAATACAGTAAATCCTCAATCGGTCGGGCGACGTAGTGAAAATAGGAGCAAATGTGACCAAGGCATAAATGAGAATTCTTTGTGAAATGCTGCCAATCAAAAAACTTTATCTGGTCCTAGTGGTGTTCAGGATAGTCACGTTTTACTGAATGTCATTTTGTATTTTTTCACACATACCTATCACCCAAACCAAGGACATATCCCACCATTGACATAACAGCAAGTGATCGAGTGTAGTTTGTGCGTCTATCAAACCAAACCTACAAAACGTCAACAAATGAAAAACAAGAATTAGATATTACGAAGCAATAAAGTTGAGAGTGAGTTTCCAAAAATGTCATAATTCAACAATATTTCTTTGCTCTCATTATTCTATGTCACACCTTTTTCATTAGGAGAATCTTTTGGCATGCATTTTAGAAAGACTGCCATCAACATCTAACAAACAATATACATGTTTGGCCCTAGAATGTTTGTGTGGTACTTTGATGCAAAAATATTCTATTTTAGGGGTTATCTAGAAAGCTATCTACACGTACCTCTGAGCTAGGACTCTTATACCAAAGTATCTTGGACAGGTCATCCCCATTTGTATGCTCCAAGGCATGTTCAAACACTTCAACTTTCTGCATCAATGTCAGGTGGTCATAATCTGGTGCCATCTGAATAATAAATCCAGAATTCAATATATATATTTAGATCTTGGCCTTTAAGTCTGCAAATATTGAATAAGAGATAAACAGGGCACAAATCAAGACATTTGAAGGAACTGTTTGTCACAATATAATAGTAAAAAACACATCTATTACATTCAGTCACTACACTAAAATATCAATTCTTAAAAATACATGTACAGGAATTTTTAGTGACCTATACCGTTTTAAACTAGCTTCTTAGTTTGTCCTCAGTTCGCTTGATTTGGTTTCTTTAAAATTACGTCTGCATGAAACATATATAAATATTGATCAAGAGGAAAAATATTGCAACAGATAAATAGTTAATACTGCCATCTATTGATGTGATTTTTAATTATGTCCTACCCGCAACATGATCCTGTGCTCAATGTTCAGCAGAATCTTTTTCTTCTCTCTGTAGTCACGAATCAGTGAATGTAGCGTGTCACAGTGAGGCATCCAGCCAATCAGACCAGAGTTGGTAGATAGGGGTACTACAGAGAATCTACGAATCCTAGAATACAGGCAAAGTATAAAATAGCCCATAAGACATGAGTTTAAAGAGGTACAAGTACTCATGTAATAAGATTCTTTCCAATGACAGTGAAATTAAATGGCTACATTAATGAAATCCCTTAATGGGGCCCTTTAATAAAAATATTCAATTCAACAACATTGTATGAAATGTACAAGAATCAAAATGATAATTTCTCATGTAAGAATTTGATTATTCCTACACCCCCAATCCGCAACATCATCTTGCAGTGCTGTAAACAGTACTGAACAGTGCAGTTCGAGTACTGCGCTGTACAGCGATGTACAATGTTATTCTAGCATCACCTGTTTTGAACAGCGTAGTACAGTACTGTTTTTACAGCGCTGTACAGTACTGTTTTTGAAAACAGTGATGTACTGTACTGTTTTTACAGCGCTGTCCAGCACAAATTCGTATACAGCGCTGTTTGATGCTGTTTGAGATTGGCAGTGTAGTGAAATCTTTATGTACAAATAATCAGAAAATCATAGACCATACATCCAAAATATGAAATCACACTAGTACATTAATACTTTATCCTGGTTAAGTCTTTCTGAAAACTTACGTGAGGTTTCTCCTAAATGTCTCTGCATTGTTTAGCAGTAAAGAATTGACCAATCCAAATAGCTGCATTACTCGCTCATCTTGACGCAGGTCCTCGTGACCTTTCAGTAGAAACTGGTACTCCTGGCCATTGTTGCCTAAAACACAGGAAAGGATTTAAACGGCTGAGTGTTACAGGCTTATAGTGAGATATTGTAAATATTGTTGGTACAATGATCAATTGTTGTTTGTGATTTGAAAGTAGTAACACTGATACGTAAGGTTACATTTATCTGAAATCTAGTACTAATTAAAATAGTTGACTTTAGCATGCAGCATGAAGTCAATGTAAAATTCAATGTTTTTTTATATGTTCCAAAAGGCCCTGGCTTACCAAATATACTGAGCTTCCTTGGTCTCTGCTTGGATGTGATCACTTGCAATGAGCTCTGTACATGATCAATGCGAACTATGGGGCTGTTGGGTTCATATGTGCCTGGAACTGCAAGCTCAAGGTCCTTGGCTACCAACAACTTGGGGGAGACATACTGGAGCTCCAGAGATGTCAACTAATAAAAAAGAAAAACACAATGAAAGAAGATTCATAGATATTGAAGATGTTAATACAATTTGATTTGATTTTCACATTATATTCAATCTTACATGGAAATATTGAGTAAATGGTTGTTAATACACCCATACAGCACTGCTTTTGTAACAACAACAATATTACTTAAAGAGTTATCATTGTCATATCTATTCTTTTTTTAATTTTCCTACAAACCTGTGGAAGTTGTTTTGAAATCCTCCTGAACACATGGTAATAGAGATCCCAAGCTTGCGTCAGCTCCTTTACATTTCCACTACGCTGGTACTTGCGACACCACTCCTGGGCCTCCATTAGGTCACGCCCATACGCCTAGATTAAAGAAATCAAAAATGTTTATCTCGACACATTGATAAACACATTTTCATCAAAAATTCAAAATGACCTCCAAGTAAACCTGCATGTCTGCATGAACATGATTTTACTAAATTCTAATGACAAGATATATGTTGCAGCCAGCAACAAGATAATACAAGACGAAAAAGTGCAATAACAATGATGTTATATACCTGATTAAATGAAGTTTCCTTTAGAGTCTGGCATCCTCTCTCCATCATCTGATGCAAAGGCTCCAATGTGGCAAACATTCCCTTCACGTTACGTTCTCCAAAGTACAATCTGGATGCTTCTTCAAGTCCTTCATGCCACAGTTCATGCCACAAAATGGCCACTCTGATCAACTCTTCACTGACCTAGAGAAATACATAATAATGGATGCTTAAGGGACCTTATTTGAGGAGAAATTATCCCAGTATTTCAATTCAGAAAATATATATATCTGAACCCCTCTCTTATCTGAAAATCTCTCGATTTGAATACTTTTTGGTCATTATTTTAATTTATTATATACCCAATGGTACCTGTTACACTGCTGGGTTGAGTCTAACGAAGCATTTTTGTAACGAAGGTTAGCGAAAAAATTGTGTCCACACTGGCTTTATCCAACCCTAACGAAGCAATTATTTGGTGTTACACTGCACTTAAAATGCTTCGTTGCGCGTGCGCAGTACTCATCTGCCCCACCCACTTATTATGATTAATATTTTTATTCTTTTGATATAAACCATTGATCAAACTTTTTAATGTTTATTTTAACAATTCAGCACAGAAAAAGACTAGTTCAAAATTCTCGGGAAAATAAAACCAGATGAATGTGATTATTCCGTACACATGTCCATACATTTTTCCCATCATTTCGATTTTTATATATTTCAGCTGTCAATACGATTACAAGTATTGTTTTCATTTTCTATCATTTCCTTTGGAAAACATATGGAATAAAAATAGGCCTATGTTAATTACTAAGAGGAATTGGATTTGGGGTTTATACAGAGGACTAGTCTGTAATATCGTATAAAAACGTTCAATTTCCAAATGGACTTCTCAGTTATATTTCAAATAGTGTAGCCATTACTAAAATATCTCGGTGTTCGGCTGGTGGTTTAACTACTATTTCATGATTAATTCATTTTAATATGAACATTACCCGTCTCGCCAATATTCCATGCATATTTGAGTGAGTTTGACATAAATTAGTATGTTCATCCATCAGCCGTCCGTTGAATTCGAAAATGGCGCAAATTGGAAGAAACTTAAATATCAGTTGTAAGCATCGTCTTACGACACATCAATAGTGTTTGGGGCTGGCCTAAAACATGCAGCCTCTCTGTGGCAAATATCTGTCGACAAGAAACAATTTTGGCCACCGTTCCTTGTCCACAGGTTTTACTGTATTTGTATACGGAAGTTTTGAAACGTAATTAATTCAATATATTTAATCATGAAGTTTAAATTCAATTACAATTTAAAATCGTCGAAGAAATAAATAATAGAACGACTAGTACAAGTATTGCAATGGGGCGATAATCAGTTGAATACGATTTCTGAAGAGAGACATTTTCGAATCAATCAAATCAGCTAAATTCCCTGATGTGATTCACCGGGAAGCAATTGTATCAGTATCATGGTATTAACACCTTTAGAATTACATTCAAGGTATAAATATTCGAGACGCAAGAAAAAATTAATATTAAACATGTATGCCACAACTTTCTATTTAGTTAGCATATATTATGTAATTTCAAAAGTTTACCCTTCCACACTTGAGACGGAGTTTTCCCGGAAAGAGGGACATTTAAATATTCTAGGTTTATTCCCTTATAGATCAGATAAACGTTTCAAAAATACTGTAAACATATACGGTAAATCCTGCGTTTTTTAAATTTAATACTTTTTGTCATATCAATGCGAGGAAAGGCAGGGAATCGAATTTAATGCCACGAAAGACGGTAAATCACATTTGTACGTGGCGTTTAGGGCTTGAGTTAGCGTCAATCAGTGACGCAAATAGGTAATTATTTTAAGCAAAACGTAGCATTATAATAATACGTACTTAAAAACATGTTCTTTCCTCGCGATTCCTCTCATTTAATACAAAATGATGAATGTGCTCTTTATTACGCGCATGCGCAAACCGCCAACTAAGCATTTTCTAACGAAGCTACCTGTTACACAGGCCAAAAAAGCTTCGTTGGGACCTAACCTTCGTTGAATTTTCTACTCAATTGCTTCGTTATCAACTAAGCTTTTCTAACGAAGGCGGAGGTGTTACACTGGCCCAAAATTGCTTCGTTACGAAGCTTTTTGTCAAATTGCTTCGTAACGAAGCATTTCAACTGGCCTGTGTAACAGGGGTCAATATGTAACACTAATCCTGATTGGTCAATACCTAGTCACGTGTTCCGAAATAGATTTACTATTTCCCTCGGAAAGTTATATTCCCTCAAATGTGACGTCAGCGGGAATATACATTTGAACTATTGCCCGCTGACGTCACAATTGCAAGCTCTATTACCCTTGGAAACGTCTGCTCATCATCACTGCGCAGACGAAAAACAGAAAAATGGAGGATGAGCACAAACACAAATCAACTCCATTCACCATGACAGACGTGCGTGAACGATACAATATAAGCAACGTGTACAAAGTTCCCTAAGCTCAATACGTCTGTGTAATTTCAAGTGTTATGATAATCTATTCCGCGTGTTAAACGCGATTGAATTTGTCAAGTGAGAGTCTCAGAGGCAAAACTTTCTGTTGAGCATCTGATGACGTCACAGCTTATAATGCTAACAATGGACCCGGGGAGGGGGCTTTCTAAGCCTTTTTGGCCTTCGCAGAGGAAACAGGTTAGTATAGGGTATATAATAAAACAAATAGTGACTGCCTAATTTCGAGCAATAGTGTAAATGATTTCCCCTTGGGAATATCCTCTACAATATACTATTCCCTCAGCCTGCGGCTTCGGGAATAGTACATTGTAGAGGATATTCCCTCGGGGAAATAATTTACACTATTGCCCTCAATGGCAGTCACTATTTGTATAATGCAAAAGACTGCAATGTTTAGAACTGCGACATGTGAAAACAGTCTCAACACTATTAGCAGTCACTTTGACATGTTTTACTGAACTTGCTTTAACATTGCAATTCATTCAGATGTTGAACTTTCAAAAAGTACCTCTAAATTACTGGTGAACCACTCCTTGCTCATACCTGGCATTAAACATTTTGAACAATCTAAACATCTTACCAGCATGGCTTGTTGTACAAGAGTATTGCTGTGTTCACACATGTTCTTCAGAACTTTGTTGGCAGCAGCATGTCTTGCAGGAGAGTTGGACTTTGATGCCACAGTTAAGGGATAAATCAAAGCCTGCAAGAGAATACATGTAACAATATGGGTAACCATGGCAACATATATATCAAAGCCTGCAAGAGAATGCATATAACAATATGGGTAACCATGGCAACATATATATCAAAACCTGCAAGAGAATGCATATAACAATATGGGTAACCATGGCAACATACATATATCAAAGCCTGCAAGAGAATGCATATAACAATATGGGTAACCATGGCAACATACATATATCAAAGTCTGCAAGAGAATGCATATAACAATATGTGTAACCATGGCAACATATATATCAAAGTAATAAAGTATTGTTTTGTTAGACTGGACATTATCTTGCGCAAATCGCAAATATAACAGACGTAATTTGAAATCATAGGACTTAAAACTGAATATGTATCCTTTGCACTGACCTGAGGATGCGTCTTGCCAATATCTATGAGAAGCTGCTGGATGAGACGCCCTACGAGTTGACGGGGAGTGTCAATGCGTGCAATCAGCTGTGGAATCACCTGGTACAACAAACAACATACACATGCTTCACAATAGGCTTTAAGCAAAATGTTTTAGTATTTGTCAAGATTTGGGTTCGAAATATAAAGAAAACTTTGGTTTTGAGCTATTAACTCCCTTTTTCACAACTGCTCGACAATTTTTAAAAAATCCTAGATTTCAGCAAAAAATGCTACTACTGATGCCACATAATTTGATTAACAGAATACAAACCTGTAGCCAGTTGTCAATGTGGATCGTCTTGAGGCCCTCTACAAGAGCTTCATAAGCCTCAGGCCACTGGCCATAGTCAAACCAGAGTGTCAGCAACCTATCATAAACAGACAAAATAAAACTTGAAGGAGCTGATATGATTATTCAATACTCTATAATGTTTTAAAAATATAACATATTGGACTACACACATGCTGCTACTTTTATTTCCCAGTTGTAACATTTTCCTTGTTGTGACATTGTTACAAAAGATTTCCTAAATGCAGTCTCATGTTCCATAGAACAAAACATGGATATCATTCCAGGGTTATGTTTCTCACCTCAGAGTGTCTTGTAGCGAGTTACCACTGGAGAGGGCAATAGAGCGAAAGAAACCCTGGATGGCTGGCGTGCTGTACTTATGCATCTTAGAGCTCACCTTCAAGATAAACATATAAGATATAAGCCAAGATAAACATAACAATAGTACATGTATATAATAATTATGCAATAATTGGATTTATGAAATTATAAACAGTTTGTTGAGGGGAGTAGTACATATGAAAGTATAGAAAAAATGAAGTAAGAATGATCAATCCCCTGGACAAAGATCACATGACTGATGTCAAGGCCACGAGGTAACTGGGATTTCATTATTCCACTTAACTTCAAAGAAGTATGACTACTGAAAACAACCCACAATCCACCCTTGAACCAAGAAAATTAGGGTAAAAAAGAGAACAATTGAACATATTAAGGTAAGCAAAACAATAAAATATCTTTAGGGCGTATGCCCCACCTTAATTTAATAATAAGAATCAATAGATGATTAGCCTAATTAAGCTAATTAAGGGATGTTTCTAAGTAAGTTATGAAACATATCCCTTTAATTGGGCTAATTAAATTATCATTTAATTGTACTAATTAGGCTCCCTGACGGCAAACTGTTGGAATCAGAATAGATGTAAAATAGGTGCTATTAAGTCCTGGGAAAAAACGATTGAAAGGGTGACAGCTATTTTGAGTTCATAATGCTCATCAAGTAGCTTTACACCCTTACTGTTCAGCTTATGCTTACATTTTCAGGTGATTCACTTGCAGAGCTGCTTGATGCTTTTGGCTCCACAGCATTAGCAGCACTGGCAGCTGGGTTCTGTTGCTGTTGTTTGTAGAACAATACAGCCTCATAATTCATACAGGCCCAGGAATGCCAGGCTTTGTACCAGTTTTTGTCATGCTCTGTAGCTGCTGCGTAGTATTTGAGTACACGGCCAACAGAATTCTCCTTTATACCATGTAAGTTTTCACTCCATTCTCCTAGTTTTAAATAACATCTGGAAAAAGATTAATGACCTCTATTAACATGGTGCAGATGAACTATTAGTGTCCTCCACATTTGTGATGACCTTGAGTCTATTCTCAATTCATTTATATTTAACTTTATCTATTTATTCCTTTTTTAGTCAACGCTAGTCTTAATAGACTTAAAACACAATGGTTCTGGCTTTTCAAACAATATTTGCTTCCAAGAATTCAAGTTATTAATTACTAATGAAATGCAGTATCATTATTACTATTACTCGTGGCGCCCTCTACTGACCTTGCCATGACTTTGTTAAGGTCATCCCTCTGTTTCACATCTTCTGGTCCAAGTAGCTGCATAACTTGTGGCTGAAGGGAACTCTCCACAAAATACTGCAGTTTTGTAAGTGCCTCAGCCTGAATGCAAGTGCAGTGGAGACTACATATTCAACAATCATGTATTGAAAAAAGAAATTCTACATATGATTGACAAATTGGAATATCTTTCTGAATTATGAGTCAATATTTATTCCATATAACTCTGCTGGTTGGGTGACCAATATGAACATTTGCTTTTTTAACAAAAAATTGACAGTAAACTAAAAAAGATGTCTCTCATATCTAATTTAAAGATATTACCTTTTGTCCACTTTTCCACATGTGCTTCGTGTAAGCAAATGTTATGTGAGGGTTAGTGGTTGGTATGGGTGTGTCTGGCTCCTGTTGGGGATCCATGCCTAGCAACATCACTAAAGTATTGTGGGACAGGGCCTAAATATATGAAAATAACCTTCAATTCAGAGGCACTACATGTATGTTGAAGAATTATGTCAAACTTTATAGAAAGAGGCGCTACAAGGGAGATGATTTTAAAGAATGAATGAATGTTGATGAGGGCAAGATTAACTTCACAGCCAATCTGCAATGATAATGTACAGAACAGTATGATATTAATTGTTTTACAAGAGTTCACACATGGGTGTACTTACCAATCTTCCACTCTTTCTACAGAGACTAGAGTACTTGAGCCAGGTCCTCATATCTTCCTGGGGGGTGATCACCAAAGAGTGCACCTGAATAATCCTCTGCCAATCCTCAACCATTTTCTCACAGCCCTGCAGTACAATATCATAGAATAAAAAGAGGGATTGAATATGGGTTTTACATCATATCCTCCTTTTTTGTGTTCTCATAATCTAGACTACATGTGATATTGACAGATTGTCTATATTGATTTACCTGTAATCTATCCCACCACATTTGCTTGATTGCATCCCTGCGTTCAGGTATCAGTTTGTATTGTATGACTTCCTCTAGTTCAGACAACATCTGGACATTTACCATTGCCTACAACAGTATCTGACATATAACAGTTTTGCATTTTGGATGTGTATGAAGTCTTTAGATAATGTTTAGTTTGGTGACAGCTTTTAGGATTTGTCTTATGCTTTTCCCTCTATCAGATTCATAATATCTTAATACAGTAAAACCTGTCTAATCCAAAAGTCTCTGGGAATTGATCAAAAGTGTTCAGATTAGCCATTATTCACATTTCAAGGTTTCGTTTATAAATATGTGAGTCAATGGGCAATGGGAGATAACAAATTACGGACCAAGAAAAAGTGTTCATATTGAGAGGTCTTTGGATTAGAAAGGTGTTCGGATATATACATTTTACTATATAATACAACATATTTTAAACTTACACCATAAGCTCTGTTATAACTCTCCCCAGCCATGGCGGTCAATTCAGTGTCAAGGATATCCCTAGCCTTGTCAATACACTGCTGGGCTAAGGCAAACTGATCCATATGTAATGCCAGTACTGCACGGTGGAATGCCCCATCCATTGTTTCTCTAGGAATCATGCACGTGTATTCCTCCATGCTCTCCCATTGGCCGAGACCCCACGCTGACATGGCCGCCATTCTTGCCATGTTTTGGCGGATATCATCACTCACTTGTGGCCACTTTTCACATGCTAGGTCATGCAGCTGGCCCCTGGAGAACACACAAGGTAGCCCATGCATGGAATATCTGCTTTTATCTCAGTTTGATTACTGTTCAGTAACTCTTTTGTTACCATTATTTACAAGACTTATTGTCATGAAAAAACAACACCACTTGCTAAGTTGTGGCAAATGGTTACAAAAGTGAATTCATATAGCTACGTTCACACCAACGGCGAATGCCACGCTTTAAATTGGCGAGCAAAGCGGCACCAAAGCATGGCGCTTCAAAGGGACTTGTAAAGCGGCACCAAAGCATAACAAAGCTTGATTAAAGCGTCGGGGTCGTAATAGGTTGCAGAAAAGCTCGAAGTAAAGCGGGATGTTCGGCAAGAGCGCCAAAAATTTTTAAACTGTTTAAAAATTTTGGGCGCTCCATTACGAATTGATTAAAGCGCCGAGAGCGTACCAAAGCTTAACAAACCGTAACAAAGCTCAGCAAAGCTTGACCCAAAGCGTAGAAAAGCTTAACAGAGCTTGGTTCAAAGCGGGGACCCCAGTCTCTTCACGGTCTGTTACCACTTGACACGCTTCGTTTAGATGTCTAAAGCTTTGCTACGATCTGGCATGAAGATCTGACACGAGGTCAGACGCTTTCATCAATATCTGACACTCTTTGTTACGCTTTCATGAAGGACTCTCAAGCTTTTTAACGAATTGAGACGCTTTAATCAAGGATTGAAACGCTTTGTTATTAAGCTTTGTTACGCTTGACAAGCTTCCTCACGCTTTCTCACGCTCTTTCAGGCCGTGCGACAAACATCATTTCTTCTTCAGATAGGTCATGATCTGGTCCATCTGGAAATTTTGGTATGCCATCGTCTTCTCGACTCACAGATGCAATGGTTTTATGGATCTACTGCATCTTTATACAGCCATTTGATCAAAAGCGTCATGATAAAGGCGATCTCGAAAATGCACAACAGAGGTTGGCAATCGTATCAGAGCCTGATTAAAGCGTCATAATCGCATCAAAGCGGAAAAATGCTTACCAAAGCTTATCAAAGCGTGATTTTAAGCGTAACAAAGCCTGGTCGAAGCGGGATCATAGCGTGAGGAACCGTAACAAGTCGGGAAATCAGAGCGTATCGGAGCTTATCAGAGCGTAACATTACTTAGGAGATCGTGATCTTTTTGGAAAAGTAAACATAAATGACAGCGCTTTGCTCGCCGATTTAAAGCGTGTCATTCGCCGTTGGTGTGAAAGTAGCTTTAAAAATGTTTGGCGCTCTTGCTGAATATCCCGCTTTACTCCGAGCTTTTCTACGACCTATTACGACCCCGACACTTTAATCAAGCTTTGTTACGCTTTGGTGCCGCTTTACAAGCAACTTTAAAGCGCCATCAAAGCGCCGTTGGTGTGAACGTAGCTTTACAGAAGCCAAAGAAATGGGGACTGCTCATAGTGACTAATTAAAGAGACTTACCAATCTCCCAGTGCCTCTTGTACCTCATTCTACAAAGGGTGAGATAGACTTACCCTTACCACTCTCCCAATGCTTCTAGGCACCTCATTCTACAAAGGGTGAGATAGACTTACCATTCTCCCAGTGCTTCTAGGCACTTCATTCTACCAAGGGTGAGATAGACTTACCACTCTCCGAGTGCTTCTAGGCATCTCATTCTGCCAAGGTTGAGACAAGGCATTAACATGACAAAATGTCACCACCTAGTTGATGAATTTGAAGCAAGTTGAAAAAAGATCTTTTATGACCCTGATAAGGTCATTGAAGGTGAAATATATTTTAGACCGTGAGAATGTCATCTATGGTCGGATTTGACCTTTTGAGTACTTCTAGATGATTTTGAAAAAAAATTGTCAATTTGACGCAAGTTGAAAAAGGACCTTTTTGACATTGAGAAGGTCAATAATAAAATCTCAAATCTAATGTTAGATTTGAACTTCTGATAATTTGTAGATGATTTTGAAGAAAAAAGACCTTTTTTACCTTTTTTTTAAAACTTTTTTTGACATTAAAAAAATCACTGAAGGTCAAATCTTAAATGTAAAGTCAGATTTGAACTTCTCAAAAACTTGTAGATGATTTTGAAAAAAACTGAAGTCAGTCTTAACAGTATTTGTTTTAAGTTATTGGCGTTACAGACACCAACTGCCGATCGCCAACCGCCACCCGCCAATCACAAACAGCCGTCAAAAAAACTGGAACATAACAATATGTCACCACTTTTTGGTGGGGACATAATAGACTTACCACTCTTTCAATGCTTCTAGGCACCTCATTCTACCAAGGGTGAGATAGACTTAACACTCTCCCAGTGCTTCTAGGTACCTCATTCTACCAAGGGTGAGATAGACTTACCATTCTCCCAGTGCTTCTAGGCACCTCATTCTACCAAGGGTGAGATTGATTTCATCAGGGTGACTCTCTTGTTTTCTCTCATAGGCTGAGAGAGCATCACTCCATTCATGTAACTTCTCATACCATGTTTCTTGCACCTTCTACAAAATACAGGTGGGTGATGACATAACAGCCGAACCTTTTGAAGTAATATCAAATCATTGATTTCATAAATACAGTATAAGAAATGAGGACCAGGATATTTGGAAGTTAGATTTATGTAGGTCATTCAAGTACAGTATTAATCCCCATATTCCTTATCTCAAAGTGCCCATTTGCATTCTGATCTAATAACACTGTTCTCCAACTTGTGATACCCCACCAATGCCATATGGTACTTCCCTCAAATTTTTATTAAAGAAGACTTACCAAATCAGTCCTGTGGTGCTTCTGTGCAAACTCTAGCACTCCAGTGGCGGCTTCTGGCTGCTGAAGCTTGTTGTTAATACTGCAAAGAATTGTTAAAATTCTTAGTAAATTACACATTAGGTAACAAATATGAGAAACTTTAATCTATACTGTATATTATATCTACACCTGGGCTAAGTAGCTATTGGAAAAGTCTACAGGTTAGATTGCTACCAAAGAATACCTTATTAGGGACTCCAGAATCTGTGTGGTTGGTCCTTTGTGGAACTCTTCTTCCTTGTAATGCAGGGCTTTTGCATAAGCTCGACATTTCATTGCACGTTCACCTAGCAGAGGGGAATCTAATGGTAGAGGTCCCTGAAAAAATAATCAATTTAATAAGAAACAGTGTGAAAACTTATATTATTTTGGGAATTTCAAAAGAAAGCAGAAAATCGATATTATTGAAAATAACCAGTGTGTATTTTCTTATAATCTTGATTTGAAAAATACTGTATGCATGATTATTCAAAGACCAGCTAACTGGCATGAACATTGGAGCTAAGTGTTATTATTGCAGCTCATGGTAAGGTGCCTTAGATGGAGCTAAGTAATGCTTGTTGAACAAGTCTAGGGACAGACACATATGATAAATCTATTTACTTGAGACTTTTACACCCAAAGTTGTCCAGCATGACCTGCCTTAATCCATGAACTGTACTGTACCTTATCACAATGTTCCATGAACTCAGCCAAGTTCAGCAGGGTCTGTGTGATCTCTGGTATGTCCTGTGATGTCAGGGCTTGCTCCAGACTTGTAATCAACTCATCCTGTTGATGTTCACTCAGCTCTGTCCAACATGACACAAACGCAGCATTGAACAGGTCCCTAACAAATGGGAATTTAGAACTTTGGTAAAATCTGTCTAATCCTAATATCACTCTGATTGACAAAGAGTTCAGAATAGCAGGTTCTCATATTTTAAGGTTTCTTTCACAAGGAAACTAATGGGAGATTAAAAATTTACTTCTGTTGGAGAATAAGTCACCATATGTTCATAGTAAAAAAGTGTTCAGATATACTTGTTTTACAATACAATGGTTTGTAATAAAGATTGTTTAACAATACCAGATAGCAATTATCTGATGCGAGAGTGCCGTTTAAGTGTGGTGTATAATAATAACAAATATCTACCTAGCTAGAGGATTGTATGTCTGTGCAAGTGCCCAACATGATCGTAGAGCTGGGGAAGGGGACTCCTTCAACAGTTCAATACTCAGTCTTTTCAACCATTCAGTCCAGTCATCCTTGGACACACGTCGTGTCACCAACCATGCCTGAAATACGGGAATATTCAAAGAGTTGTCAATAGAAATAATGATTTTCATTATCTGAAACATCAAAGTTAAAAGGCAATGTATACAAATCAGCACACAAAAATGTAATGCACAAGGATAATTGTCTGATGTACATCTAACAACTATTTGATTCAGAAATAGGCCAGCTCGAGCCACCCTTAGCCAAATTCTTTTGAAAATCAAAGTAAACAAATGATTTGGGCCACTTTTAAAATCCCCTTGGCGAAAACTGACTACAGGCCTGTGATTGTTGTTAATGTTCCAGTCTTACCCTCTGTAGATTTGCAGAGCTGACATGTAGTTTCTTAATTGTTGTATTTTCTTGTGTGTCCTGGCCTGCATCAGCCATACGTGGTTTCCTGGTTCTCTGTTTATGTAACAACGGCTCATCTTCCTCTGCTATTGTGCTACCCTAAAGTGGAATATACTAAGCTTAGGTCAAGGACAAACAGCTGTATTCATCCATGGCCCACCCCATAAAATTAAAGAAAATTCCAATTCTCATTTTAAAACTTTTAAGGATAATTTCTCACAATTTTTAAAAAAGTTCATTATACATCATACAGTCAGTTTTAGATAAAGGGTTTACCTTGAAAGAAATATGTGTACAGTATATTTCCCTAGGAATAAACCCTGCATCCAAACCCCCCCCCTCCCCCCCAGTACATAAACCTTTACTTCCTTAGAATGGAATAAAGCAAACCTTGATGACTCTACACAGCAATATTTCATATTTCTGGTGTACGATGCGGTGTTTTGCCGTAACTTTATTCACCATTGGAATGAATGTCTGGTACCGCCTTCCCATCTGAACAACCAATGAGGACAGTGCATCCATAGCGCTAGTACGTAGCTCAGGACAACTATCAAGCACTCTAACTATTGGATGAATGATTCGTGATGCAAAGTCTGTCAGGTCTAAACTGTCTGTTAGATGATCTATAGTCTCTAAGGCACATCTGGAAATGTTTAAAACGAAAACAATAATGTTTTTAAAATCCCATATTTTGCGATTTTAAAAAATTTTGTGATTCACTGATGTTGCCCTGTGTTTTTATACACAAAAATAATCCCTTAATAAATTTTCCATTACAAACATATTAAACTGACAACAAATAACGAGCTAGCACATACTGCATTTGCTAAAATCAGGAATAGAACTGATGCTTTAAGTAGATGATTCAAGTTAGCAGTTAATATATGTAGCAATATCGATCTAGTTTTTAAATACATTTACATAATACCATTACACAAACCAAAACAACTTACTTTCGCACTGATACAGGGACATCTGGAGTATCAAATAATTTGACAATAGGTGGCAGTAAAAGATGAAGATAGTCATCCAAGTTTGCACCAAATAACTGCAGTGCATTCAAAAGCTGAAATAAAATATATGATGTTTATTAATTCAAATTCTTAGTACAATGCTCAAGTGCACCTAGATTACACTTCAAAATGTAGTGATTACAATACACAATTTTTGATTAGGTTGAAAGACTGAATTGGTCTGCCGTAAGTTTATACTTTCTCTATTCACTCCCAAACTTGCATCTGGCATGTCTAACACAAAAATCAGATTTCTCCAAACTGAGTTAGCTCTCCAAAAGAAGGAGTTACCTATTCATGAAGTAAATACAGTGATATTTTCAAACTTTTTTTGATTACCTTTGTAGTAACTAGGCGCATATGACTGTTGTCATGCATGAAGACTCGGAGTATCTGTGGCACAATCTGGGGAAGATATATCTTAAATTCTGTTCCCAAGGCAACAACTATCTGCTCCACTAACAAGATTATAGTGTTCTGCATTGGACTGTTCAGAGTCCAGTAATCCTAGAAAACAAGATTTTACCAATACATTTTAGAATTTCACACAATTTAATTTTCAAAACAAGGACATAAACATGCAAAACAAGTCTCCATCATGAAAATGCGTAGACAATGTTTTTACAGAGAAGATTTTAGGACAGAAAATCCAAAATGGCTGCCTTAACATTGACCCAGAATGCCCAAAAACTAATTAGTTTGAGATTACAAAGAATCATCCCTGAAAAATTCATATTGATCCATCAAAGAGTATGCCTAAATCACATAGACAAGATTTTACAATGGAAGCTTCAAAAATGGCTGAAGATCAAAAAGCAGATTTTTTTACTATTTTTTTCTTTTTACAAAAATTATCACATTTAATTACTGTTAACAGTAACAAGGGTTTTCATACAGGACACCTGAAATTATTTTATAGTTTAATTAGGAAAAATTCAAAAGCATCTTATGAATTTGATAATGTTTGCAGACAACAATTTTAGCATTTGACTTCAAAATGGTTGACATCGAGTCAAAGATAGTACCGCATCTGTGAGTACTCAAAGTTATCTCTGTGAATTTTAAGGTGACTATTTCGAATATTAAAGCATATATCATCAGTTGTGTGAAAGTATAAACTAGTACATGGAGTATTGTGCTTGAACAGAATGCCAGCCTGAAATAAGAACCAACTGATGCGTTGGCCACAAAAACTAGTCACAAAAATGGTAACTATAACAATATGTCTAAATGTGTTATTGATGACCAAGTATTTAAACAATGACAATTTTTCTTCCGCTGCCAAAATTTATCATACTGCAACTTTCATTTGCTAGGATTACATAAGTGTCCAATTCATAGATAATTAAAAAATTATAAAAATCATGATATTATGATTATTCTTTCTTTTTTGATACCAAGGAGATAGTTATTTCACAAAAATTGTATTTATTATGAGTAATTATAACATACCTATGATGATGCATAGTGCAAAGTGTACACAAGACAGCGGGCCAATATAAGTTGTGAAAAGCCCGCAGGTGCTGACATCATAACCAATCAATCGAAGATAAAACTGCGCGAGCAATTTTTCTAAACTCATTTCAATAGTTTTCAAACCATTTGTTTGTCAATTCTATTAGAAAACGGTACTCTCTGACCAGTCTACATCATCATAGGTATGTTATAAATCGTTTATGTCACTATCGTGGCACATATGCCCTCGGTTTTCAGAGATCAATGTCCCTCCCAAGGTCGGGCCATATATCACTGAGACCTCGGGCATATATGCCACGATAGTGACATAACCTCTAATTATGGTGGCAATTTGTAAAACTGGCGGCTATTTTTAAAATTGGGTCTTGAGCAGAACTTCCATGGTGCATATACATGTACAAATATTAGATAACAACAATGCCAAAGTGTAGCAAATCCCATCAAACAGCCATGGCTGCCACTTCTAAAAAATCCTTCTACCACTTTTTCAGATATGGCAAAAATTGTAAAATAGCATAAAGTCCACCATTTTTCAAGATGGCTGTCATGTGTTTCTCAAATGTCTACATATCGAGCTTCATTATGTCCTATATAACTTTGTTACATTTAAACATATTGCTATTTCAGTTTTATATATATGTTTTCAAACGAGCAGCGATTTTGATAATCAGCTAATTAAACAGAACTTCTAAACCCATAGGGCATATGTGTACAAATATGAATAAAATCAGGCCACAGGTATTTGAGTTATTGCCCGGATAGACAAACTAACTGACGAATGTATTGACGTACGTACGCCATCCTGTTTTGTGATAGAAAACAGTGAACATTTTGTTAATGATAATTCTTCTGCAATGTTAAACAGACATGTGAATGTGAGGGCTGTTTGTAATAAAATTACACAAAATTAGCTTCATAAAAGGGGCACTGATATTTTGACCAATTTTTTTTTTTTATTAATATATTGCAATCACTTTTAGATCAGTGGCACATAGTTAAAAAACTAGTGCAGCAGTTAAAACATACAATACATGTGTACAAGTACAATTCTAAAGCAGAGCTAAAAACATTTGCGCAATAAGACATAAAAACAAAACTAAAACATTTGCAATACATTAACTTGTTGGTGCTACATATATGTTTTTGATAAAATACTTTGAGCATGCATCAAAAATATAACCTTGTTCTTGACCCAAGATAGCATAGGCCGCATCCCCAAGCACCCATTCTAAACCATTATTGGGAATACATGTCTTAAAATAATTATAAATGTGTTGAAGTCTATTCTCAATGCTATTATAAAATATAAACCTTTCCTCTTTAAACTGGCAGGAGTTTCTTTACAGCTCATATTACAAAACGAACACATTCCATCACTTATACCCCATCTCTCAAGATCAATGGCGAGACCAAAGCATCCTGATCTGGCCTTGAATTTAAGTTTTTGAGCATAGAAGTCAAAATCAGTTTTAAGGTATTTTTCCATAAGTGTGTTTCTTTTAATATTACTATATACTGTAATTGACTTTTTCTGGTTTATCGAGTCAAAAAATGTATTGCGTAATAAATCATTAGATATTTTCAAATATGACGAGTACCAATCTGTGTCCTCTCTGTATATTACATCGTCTAAACCATGGTTGGTCAAAATATCTTTAATGCTAGAAAAATAAGACCAGGTGGCTGTATTTCCCTTTTTAAAGTCCTCAAACATATAATTGAAAATATTCTTGTGGAGCCCTGCTTTAAGAGAGCTCTTTAAGTAGATAAAATAGTCAATTTTTCTTTTTTCTATAACATTACATATAGGCCTCCATCCCAAGTCACCGAACAGGGCCTCCTTAGCAGGATTACACTTGAGTTGTAATAGCGATTTTCCTATCTTATATTGAAAGGTAGCTAGTGTTTTACAATTTGATTTGTTCAATACGAAGGTACTACAACCATGCAAAATTGCAGGTACAAACATTGAATTATATATAGTATCACCAAAGCTTATGCGCTTTGCATTACAGTGTTTACTCAGAGTTGAACACAACATGCCTTGCATGCGTTTAGCTTTTGGCTTAAGGAAGGCATCTATGTGATAGGTGTCCTTTAATGTCCTATCAAAGTAGAACCCCAGATATTTATAGTTTTGAACTTCAGTTAGTTGAAGATCACCAAGATGCCAAATTTTTTCTTTATTGATGCGCTTACCTATCACCATTACTTTTGACTTTTTTTGGGCTATATTTAACGCCCCATTTTAGTGAAAATTTATTTGCAATTTGTAACATTTTGTTCAATTCCCCTTCAGATTCTGCCATAAGGACGATATCATCTGCAAAAAGCAGAGCAGGGACATTTCCATTATTAAAAGGTATTCCTGTGTTTTCTGAATGTAGCATCTCAATTAATTCTGTCATTATGAAGGAAAAAAGCATAGGGGATAAACAGCAGCCCTGTTTCAGGCCTGTGGGAGCACTATACTATCACTCTCAGGGTTGTTACCTGTGATTGGAGTGTCATTTTCAAAATTTAGATTTTTCATAAGTTCATTATCAAAATTATCACCATTTGACTTTCCAAATAAGACCTTATTTTTGACATCTTTATAGGATTCACGGAGCAGTCTCCAAGTTTTACCCTGGATACCTTTTTCCCAGAGTTTCATGAAAAGAAGATCTCTATCGATAACATCAAAAGCTTAAGTCATATCAAGAAAAGCCAAAAAGGTCTTTTTGCGTTTATTTTTACGAATACTACAGAGACCTTTTAGGGCAAATATGTGATTCTCTAAACGTAGATTACTGCGAAACGCACCCTGGAGATCACCAAATAAGTTCTTTTCTTCACAGAAAAACATTATTTTGCGCTCAAGAAGGGCAGTAAACAACTTAATATATAAACATTCGAGTTTATAGTAATTCCACGATAGTTATTAAGGTCCTCCGTATCGCCATTCTTATGCAATAGTTTCAAGAGCCCATATTTGCACCCTTGGTATACGCAGCTAACGAAAATTGACCGGTACGGGTCAAAAGCTGGACCGGTACGAGTTAAAGTCCCCGTCTAAAGTTTGAAAATAATTTTTTATCATTCATTTACTATTTGTCAGGACTTAAAAAGTGATTTTAGAGATTTTTGAACAAAAAAAAATTTTTGAAAAAAAAGTTGTGAGCATTTCATTTTTCAAATATTCAAATTTCCCGCCATTTTTCAAAAAAAGTTGAAATTTCTTAATCATCAAATATTTTTTAATGCATTTCAAAAAAGATTATCTTTTTAACACCAATGCAAAGGTTAAACAAAGGACACACTATTTCAATAATAAAATGCCATATTTAATGGGCCACTTCAATGTTTTAACATATCAAAAATATTTTGAAACATTAGTGATGTCACTAAGGTACCAAAAACTTTTTGAAAAAAATTGAAATTTTTTTTTCGATGTCAATCTTTTCTAAATATGTTAGACTTTCATAAAAAACAATGTTGATTGTCTAAACAGGTTAAAAGGAAGAATAAATTATGTTTTAGATATCATTGTACCATTGGTTTCTATGAGAACTAAAATTTTGAAATGCATTTTTTTTAAAAATATTTTTTAATGCATTTCAAAAAAGATTATCTTTTTAACACCAATGCAAAGGTTAAACAAAGGACACACTATTTCTATAATAAAATGCCATATTTAATGGGCCACTTCAATGTTTTAACATATCAAAAATATTTTGAAACATTAGTGATGTCACTAAGGTACCAAAAACTTTTTGAAAAAAATTGAAATTTTTTTTTCGATGTCAATCTTTTCTAAATATGTTAGACTTTCATAAAAAACAATGTTGATTGTCTAACCAGGTTAAAAGGAAGAATAAATTATGTTTTAGATATCATTGTACCATTGGTTTCTATGAGAACTAAAATTTTGAAATGCATTTTTCCCAGAACCATTTTCATGCACTGATAAGTTCATTTCTCGCTTATTTATGAACCGATTTTCTTAATTTTTTCGGCAAAAAACATGGGAGGATGAATGCATGCATTGG